GCAGGAGGGGGCTTAGAATAATAGACTAACACCTTTATTGCAATCAAACTCTCACTGCAGGTAGATTTAAAATAATAATTTGTTATAATCTTGGGTCTGTGGCTTCACATGTTAACGTGATGCGCTGCACACAGCCTACATGCTTCCCTAGGCAAACAAAGCAAGTGCGGAGACTGCTAAGTCAGAAATGTCATTGTGCAAACAAATGACTTTTCATAACTGAGTGGGTTTGTTTTAAACAAGAAGGAAGTGGAATCAGAGCTGTCAGGAGTAACAGGTGGAGAAGTCATCCTCCAGAGCATCAGAAAGAGTATTACTCCCACTCAAAGAGATTTCATTTTCACCAAACCCAGAAATAAATACCAGAGATTTGGAGCCCCTGTTCTGGTTGTTAGGGGAGGGCCCCACGTCAGCCTGTCAAACCAACTGCAGGACACCAGGGCCACATAGTCCCAATTTGCACAGCAGACAACCAGGGAAGAGACCAGCTCCTGCCTTTGCACCAGAGTAGGTGCACAGCTGACAAATTAGATGCTTTCAGGTCATCTTTTTCCTTGTAGTTTTTGGTGCTCTGTTCCTTCCCCGTCCCCCCTTAATTGTAGTACATTTCCAGTCTTAAATTCAGTTTTTTTGTTTGTTTGGGAGTTTTTTGGGGTTGGTTTTTTTTCTGTTAGATCAGGAATTCAGCCAAAACTGTAATGAGTTTTCTGATTCTTTCCATTGCGTAAAAACCTGAGTGGAAGACAGGAATGGAGACTGTTGCACCGATTTCTCAAAGATAGCTGCTTGAGGTGGGCACCTCTGCGTTTGAGGGGAATAGTAAAGGGACAGGAAAAATGAGGCCAGCACTAGAAGCAAAAGGTTTTTATTAGCTTCTGATATTTCAACTCTACCTACATAAGCTGCAGCTAGAACCAAAAAACATATCTTTGTAAAAAGACTACCATAATCCAAAACAATCCATAGAAGTTTTCCGCATGTATTAAAAGTTTAAATTCAAAAAGAACTTTCCAATGTTTCATTTTCTAACAGCATCTTCATAGAGATAATATCCAAGTTCTCTTCCTAAGTACAGATACAAGGCAAACAAGCATCCTACAAAATAATCTATGGAAAAGGTAGTGTAGGAGGGAAATTAAGACCGTGTAATAATATACTAGCCAGACACACAGGTTAAATGTAACACAACCATACCATCAATGAAATATTTAAAAATGAAAATAAATTAAGGTTACATCAAAGTTCCTGCTTTTCTTTTATTGTTTAAATCCTCAATATAGTACATACCACTGCATTATGGATCATGGCAAAGACTTAGCATTAAAAAAGTTGCTATAGAAAAACTTTTATGAAAATAAACCCAAAGATATTCCTTCACACAACTGTATGATGGCTATAGAAATTACACTGAAACAGTTTTTCAAACTAGGACCATTTGTTTTTAAAATCACTGTGGATTTCTGTAAGATGTTGGTTGCAAATCTAAACAGCCATGAAAATGGGAGATGAATGTCAATGAGCAGTGATCCATACGTTCTGACTGAACAGATGCTGGTTTACCCCTTTCGTTGCTTAGGCAAGCTGTACATTTTGTTCTCCCTGATACCTGCACCCCATCAAGAATGCAATTTTGCAGAGCAGTTTTTTGGTAGCATTTTGATATTTTCTGAAAACCAAAAATCTTGTTCTCTTAAGGTCACTATGTGAGCAATGGGAACACAGGCTTAAAAGGCTTTGTCAGGGTGCTGCTTTACCTCTTGTACATGATGCTTCAGACTCACTTGCCACTTGGAAGCCAACTGCCTGTATATATCATCATACTATATTGCTATTTTTCTAGAAAACATCAGTAAGCATTCCAGCTCACTATTACTACACCCTCCCCATTAACTATAACTGGACAGGAAAGACCTAAGTGGTGCTTTATAGTACTTGCTCTACAGATTTAAAGTCATCCACCAAACAGGAAAGCAAACACCCTCCACGGCCTTTGCAGTTTTGTAATATGTAATGGACAAAACAAAAGGCTTAAATAAAATGTATTCAAAAGACACTTAGCCAATTACGAGTTTCTGATACTACAGTGAACCATCCTGCTGGATTCCTCCCATTACGCAAACTATAAGGAGGTAAGTGAACATTTCTGTGAAAATGCTATTTTCCTAATACTAAGCTCCTTGTTGACTATGCATTTAGATCTGCATTTATTAGATAAATCTGTTAGAGGAGAAAAATATTTAAAACAAATACCCTAAGCAGTTTCTGGTTTAATTGTATCAAATCTTCAGTGTTAAACCTAAAAAGAAGAAAATCTCCACAAAATGATGGTTAAAAGAACAGAGTTTTTGCTTGGTTACTGCATGGGCGTTGCAGACAAGCTGCACCTCACCAGTTCATTTCATGAGGCTGCAACAGCGTCTACTGTCCACTGTTTTCTGGATTTGTGGTGGTGGTTTCAGTGCCAACAGGTTGCACATTGTCTGCAAGATTGTGCGCGTGCTCAAGGAACAAGTCTTTCAGTACGCTCAGCTCCTTGGTCAGGAGCTTAATTTTTGCCTCTAAACGTTCATTTTCTTCTTTGAGCTGGTTGACCCTTTGCAGCGTGTCTTGTGCTTTCTGCTTGCTTTTTAACCGGCTCTTTTTCACTGCCATGTTGTTTCGCTCTCTGCGCTGACGATACTCATCACTGTTTCTATCCACAAAGGAATTTTTCTTTCCCTGTTTGCTCGGAGGCACAGCTTTGCCTCCGCCACCAGGACTAACGGGCACCAGCTGGGGAACCTGCTGCAAACCACTGGTGTGTGCTTGGGTGTGAATCACGCTTACTCCATTCGCATCTGTAGCAGTGTTCTGTTGAGATGTCTTGCTCATTTGGACAGGCTCTTCTCGGACACAACAGAATTTACTAGGAGATTGAAAACTGTTACGTTTCTAGAAGGTGTTTCCAACAGGTCTTCACATGGATTAAAGGCAAGGTGAACCTAGTAGGAAAAAAAAATGCTATTAAAGGTACTGGCTTCAGCTACAATCTTATACATCACTGGCTTTAGCATAAGGTACTGATGGTACATCTGGCAATAACACAACTGTGCTGGAAGTGGAGAAGCTGCCAACTACATTTCAGAAGCCTCTCGAACGTATTTGCATTGGAGGGGACTGTTACTGGGTCATCTAGTCAAGTTGTTTGCATTGTTCACTGGCTTTACTCAGTTATTCCAAAGACATCCCTGATGGATGGGTGTCTAGCCTAGCCTCGAATATCTCCAGTTTCACAACCTCTGTCTTGGCAACAGGTTCTACTGTCTAACTTTTCCTCCAGTTATATAATTTTCTTAATTTTCAGACTGGAGTTTTCCTTCTGCAGCTTAAACCTATTAATAGCCTGACTCTTGACCAACAGGAATACTTGATCCTTGTCCTCTTCAGACCATCCCTCTGGGTGTATGCACAGACAAATTCCTCCCTGGTCTCTTTTCCCTGGATTGAGGGTGCTCAGACTGTCCACCTTTCCTCGGTCATCTTAGAGCACTTGCTTTTGAAAATGATGTCCAAACTGATGAGTGTTTTAAGGTCGCACTAGTACTGAGTGGAAAAAAATAACCTATGGAAAAAGGTAGTATGCTGCAAGGACTGTGACTGAGTGACATTAAAGGAACCCCTTTGACCACAAGCAAGGTAAGACAAGCTAAATAAGCCTGTGATGGTACTGTAACAAGCAGACAGGACAGGAACGCAGGGTGATGGCAATGTGAGAATCATTACATGGCAAAGACAGGGTGACTGTTGCCACCCATAGGAAGATGGCAGCCACACCTGACTCGTCCACAAAATATATTCCCCTGCTGTAGCTCCTGCATGGATCATTGTCCACTCCCCTCTCCAGCAGACAAACAGGCCTGACGAGCAGGACACCCTCTCACCTGACTCACGTCCTCCTGCTGCTGAGGCCAGCCTGCTCCTGACCCTACTGGTGGCACAAGGAGGACTCCACCACAGCTGCTGCAGGGACACGGCCCTGGCAAGGCTAACAGCTGCTCCCTTGCTCTTCCCATCTCACGGGATGACCTCCTAAATGTCTGGGAGAGAAGTTTGGGAGAGAAGAGGGGAAGCACAACAAGGTTGTTCTAAGTTCCTTAAATGCCTACATATGGCTCCAATTAAAAGTACTCAGTGATCAAACAGGTGTTTTCTTGTCATATTAAAGGAAAGTATCTAACTGGCATAAAACTTCTGCTCCAAGATCAGATTGCATTGCAACGGTGCGGCCCTATGATCTGTCACACACACACATGCAGTATCATACAACTGCTGTTCAACGTCCTCCTTGCCTAGCCTCAAGAGGACCCCTGGGGAAAGCAAGCAGCTCAAGTTAGCAGTGGGCAATGCTAACTGCCCAGTATCAGCAGAGTCCAAGCCAGGGACTGCGGCTTGCATCAGTAACAGCACCAGAGATGGATGACTGTACTCCCGTGTCTAGCTGATGAATGGATGTGGCGAGATGTTTGAAAACGAGCTGCTGTGTGTCACCAGTCATTCTAAACTCATGGATTCATCAGCTGTTTACTGTTCTTGTTTGTTTGTTTTTCTCAGCAGTCCGAGTTGCTGCTATACCTTCTGCTAGGGTATCGTTAAAAAGGTTAAAATTCTACTGTCTAGATCAATTGCAAATTTTCTTCCATCATGAGGGAGCCAGAACAAGATGCAATTGCAGAGTGTATGTAAAATTCACGGAAAAGCCTATTAAGTTTGGCTTGAATGTTACTCAAAGTTAACATTCCCCACGAAGTCCTCTCACTTAAAACAAGTGAAGATGTGTGAGTATACCCACACCCCTGCTATGAAGAAGTCTTTTAATTTCCGTATTTCAGGGCAGAAAGAGACCATCAACTCTTTTTGACATCTGTATAGCTAAATCTACATACAAACACGCCTAACCCTTGTATTTAATATTTTCCTAATTCAACTCTTAAAGCAACTTTTGCAAAGCACATTTAAGTCTTAGATCCTGACTGAATAAGCATATATGGCTACCAAGATGCCACTGTGCACAAACACCAGGCTGGCAGGGCCAGTTGTAGTAGCTGTGCATGCGTGATTGCACAGACATTTTTAGTCAAGATCCAAGTGTATGCTCCTCTTGGAGCATATGCTGGCTTTGTCTCAGCTTTATTTTTAAATACAGGATTTCTGTAGCCCTGAAAGAGTATGTAGCTCTGTTAGATCGCCTCCGACAACTGAATTTTTCCACTAATTTTTGGCATCTTTTCAAAGTCAGACAGAATGCTCTCCTGCCCCCTCTATTTCAATACATTGCAGTGCTTGCTAACTTCATCTGGACAGCCCAGTAAAGTAGCCCATACCGTTTCCACGATCTGCTTTTTGTACTTCATGAGATACTGCAGAGGAAGGGGTGGCTCCTGCCCCCGCAGGCACCCCACCCAAAGTATAACAAGTTTCTTCACATCACCAGGTTCCATGTGCTATTTCTCTCTACACTATCGAAACTAATACTGCTTTAACATTCCCTTCAGATCTCTATCAAATTCCCCTGTAATTCAAAGGAAAAATTAGATGTGCCATTAAACTGAATTTTAATGGAGTATTTTAGTTGGGGAGTACACGGGTATGAGCAGAGAAGATGAACCAGTGTCAGCTCTCAAGCAAGCATTCTAGCCCTGCTGGAACAGACCTCCCTCAATTCCTTCCCTCTGGAACTGATCCGTTTTGTATCAAGTAACTATTTCTTGAGCGAGGCACACTCTTACTTGGCCTGATACTCAGAACTCTTACCTGGGAGAGATGACACCTGGATTCTTGTCCTGCTCCAATTAATATTTACGCAAAGCAAGTAGCAGTAACTGTACCGCGCCACTGATAACCCAGGAGTGGTAACAACTGAGGCTTAAAACTGATTTTTCCCCCTAGTTATTTGGAGGCAGGATCCCTATTACCAGTTGTCAGTTCTTCAACAGAACGATGACAGGGAAGAGTATCTTGGATAGCACCAGGGGCTATGGGGCGTCCTTCAGGGAATACTGTATGGAGATTTAAAGGCAGCAGGTATGAGACATACAAAAGGGGTCTCAAGAAGGGTGAGGTAAAGGACACAGTAACTGCGAGGGCACGAGGGTGGGAAGCAGATGGGTCTCGGAGTTCGTTTCTCAGGCAGCGTGCCACACAAACGCAGCTGCTCCGCTCCTCTCCACAAACAGGTTGGTTTGCTGTGAATGGGTGATAGCCCCAGCACAGCAGGAGGCAGCTCCTCGGAGAGCCAGCCGAGTTTCCGAGCATCTTGTTCCCATAAAGCTGCTCATTAGCTTGAGCTCAGCGACAGCCCTAGGCTGGTTCCACCCAGCACATGGTAGTGTTTCCAGCGGCCGGTTAGAACTGCCTTGTTCTCTCCTTGGGCCACCAACTGGCCACCCAGGACACCAACTGGCCACCCACTACAGCATAATAGCTGGTAACTCAGAGGTATCTTCTCAGGCAGAGAGATGTTTTCTTACTGCCTGACAGCGCTCCTCAGGGACCACAGAGACTCCCAAGCAAATCAAGGCCTTTATTATCTTTGATTTCACAAAAAAAAAAAAATTTCAAAAAATTAAACTTAAACTTCCAAATGTTTGTTTTGGCAAAAAACAAAAGATGTGTTTTGTTAATTAAAGTCACTTTTTTTTTTTCTTTTTCCTTAGCAGCAAAAAATACAAAGTGCTTCTCTCTGCTCCTTTTCCAAGATGTGGCTGTGTTGATTTTGATCGTTACTCAGGATGACTTTATTGCACAAGTTCACTCGGCTGTCTTGTCTAATGCAACATCAGTCCCAATCTGAAATAGGTGGCCTCCCTTCCCCTTGACTTCAGTAGGAATACCCCTGCAGGATCTGACTCTAAACCCAGATGGCCCTGTACAAAGAACAGCATAAAACCAACACTGGGAGGGCCCACTCCTGCATGGTTTTCTGTACACTCTCATGGGCAAGTTACTAGGAGTTGATGGTAACTCTCACATACTGAGGGCAAGGCAACAACTTTTTTGAGACCAAATGGCTCAAACCTATCATCTGTTGCTAGAGCTGACAACATCACTTTCCCATATTTTTCCTCAGAATTTCCATTTTTTTTCCCCATACACCTTTAAGCATCCTTAAAAAAACGTGCTCGGAACATTCAAGGTATGTATTTTAATTGCAGGCTAGCAGTGTCAATGACAGAATCACAAACAATTCCAGATGACAGGATGCAAGGAGGTGTAAATTTGACAGTCTTTTGAATTACAATGAAGGTGGCTATTTCTAAAGATTAACTAATTCCTTAAATCCAAAAGTTTTTCAAATTATGAATTTCTGTATTTTCTGAGGTGACGCTATAACCAGCATGGCACTATTACTGAATGGAGGAGTGCTGAGTTGCCTGAGTGACTGCTATTTCCCACCAGATGTCAGAGCTAAAACCAACGTCAAGCTTTCAGCGATAGATCTGCTTTGGAAGTTGCGGCTGGAGCTATAAAAATGTGCTGGGAACCAGAACGATTTGTCAAGACATTCAAAACTCCACTGAGAAGCTAGAAAAGAACAACACCAGTTGTTAAAGCGCGGCATTCTACGGTGGTTCGGGGGTGCTCCCGGGATCCCCGCGGCCCTGGGCGCTGCCGGCAGCGGGGTGCCCAGCACCGCGGGGTTACGGGCCCCG